TTGAAGCATCTTTGTAAAGCAAGTGACTCGGGCCCTGTTCATAGCCGTGTCAAAGCAGCCACTGACCAGGCTTGGGGAGGCGGTACTAGAGTTAAAGTTTGTCAGGCTCGCTCTTGTTCTTAATGTTCACCCAGGTCTCACACTTTCATATCAGGATGTAGAGTCTTTGACCTATGTATATTTAGACACTGTCTGTTTACCTGCCCAGCAGAGAGGTCAAGGCAGGTAGTCAAAATTTCACCCAGGTGTTTCTTTCAGAGCCTGCTCTTGGCTCACTGTGTGTGTGTGTGTGTGTGTGTGTGTGTGTGTGTGTCCCTGCACCTGTTTGTATATCTATGTCTACTTGCCTTGGTGTTTTTATAACTGTGCTAGTTTTAAACATTTCCTTCTTCATCCTTCCAAGTGGCGGTGACTTCATTTGTGAATGCAGTGGAGAAACAAGACCAACATGGCCCTGCCCTTCTTAGAGGAGACTGATCATTTATTGAGTGTTTGGTGTATGTCAAGAGTATCACATACACAATCACTTGGAATTTTCACAACAGTTTCATGAAATTGGTATCGTTAACCCATTTTACAAATGAGAAACTGTCAGAGAGTTTGAGAAACTTAGCTCAGGCCATACATACAGCTGGTAAGGCAGAGGCAGAGTAGAGGTTTGAAGTGGTAAATCTCTGGCTCCAGAACCTAGGATCTGAGTCAGATCATTCTGAATTGTAAAGATCAAATAGTACCTAAGGAATATATAATGACTAGGAACATCAAAATGGAAGCATCTCCAAGCAGAGTAAACGTGGGAGCCAGAGCCTGGAGACTCCGCCATGATGTTCCAACCACTTGCTCCTGCTCCAACACCTCTGACTTTGCTGATTTCCACCTGGAGGTCCTTTCTGTGACTGGTTCTTTTCTTTTATTCAGGTCTCATATATTGTTACCTGTTCAGAAAAGCCTTTCGGGCCCTCCCTAACTTACCCAAGTATCTTCTATCATTCTATCCTGTTTTATATTCTTTGGAGTGCTTGTGACTTGGATATTACCTAGCTTATTTTATTGTTTGTGTTGGTTGAACTCCCTCATCATAAATATTGGTGCCACAAAAGCCAAGTCTTATCTAATTTATTATGTCCTCAGCCCTGGTACACTGTAAACTCTCATAAGACGGATTTTGAGTGAATAAACATTTATTTCCCTTACCTGGAAAAATAAACTGGGAACTACCAGCATTTATTCATTATTTAATGTCTGCTTCCTCCATAGGGTATCAACCTCTTAAGGATAGGGACCCGTTTTGTTTTGTTTGACACTGTCTCTGACACCCAGCACGGTGCCAGCCACACAAGAGGTCCTCTATAGATATCGAATGAATGCTCCTGTGGATTGATCCTATTTCTTCATTTGATTCCGCTACCCAGATAAACAAGTCTGAGCATAAGTCATTCTGTACTGGAGAGATTCACTGACCCTGGTTCTCACTGGACAAGGCTGGGAAGTTTTTTTTGTTTTGTTTTGGTTTTGGTTTTTTTCCGGTACCGGGAACCGAACTCACGACCTTGCGCTTGCCAGGCAGGCGCTTTTGCCGCTGAGCTAAATCCCCAGCCCCAAGGCTGGGAAGTTTTAATAAGACGGATGCCAGGATTCTGACTCCAGAGATTGTGATTTCATTGCTCCAGGTTGTGGGTTTTAAAAGCTTTTAAAAGCTTCCCATGATTCTTATGTATAGCGAGGTTGAAAATTGCCGTTATATACTTTCAGAACTCTTTTCTTGCTTTGGTCCTGGTAGGCTTGAAAGAGCCATGGTGAGAGAGGAAGGGATATTCATGGATACTGCACAGTTCCTGGCAAGTTGAAAGATACTTTCACATGTTCACATCTGATTAAAAGATGCTCCAGAAGCTGCTACCTGGTTTGAATATTCCCTATAGTCATGTTGATGACTACTAAAAATCTACATCTGCCCTTACTCTTAACTGCTCATAGTAGTATATAAACTCCTTATAGACCTGTTCCCTGGTACCTCACATAGTTTCTTATCCTTCTCCTGCAGGGGTCCTCTTCTGAAACTGTTGGACATGTTCCAGCATCAAGCTGTTCTACAATGGCTCTCGCCTCCTTTCCAGCTGAGGCCTTGAGCTCCCAATGTCTCTTCACTCCTGACCTTTATTTCTCTTCCTCTGACCACTGCCCAAGTACAGTTCTTCATCACTCCTCCATGAGTTATTAGCATTAGCCAGTGTGACCTTCCCCATGACCCCTTTTTCCCCTTCCAGAAATGCTAGTCGCCTACCTGGGTAGTGACTGCATTCTGTCCATGCCTTCTAGGTCTTCCCTAGCATTTACAGTCAAGTTCAGACGCTTTGACAGAACTGTCAAGACTTCTTGGTCTGGTCCTAAGCTGTGCATTTCCCAGAAAATCCTCAGCTTCTCCACTCAGGCTATACACCACATGGCTTGCAGTGTGCTAAGCCTCTAAGGATACTCCCATGCTTTTTATGCATCTGCTCTAATAGCATTTTCTCGGAAGGCTTTCCCCTGCAAATGTCAACCTTTCGACATGCTTCATGTCCATGGTTGCCCTTTCTGAGATCCTCCTGGGGTTCAGTTACCAAAATTAAATATTGTTCCTTGCAGTACGAGGGTCACTTTTCATGAGTTTGAGCTCTACTCTTCTCTTACTGAAGTTCATAGTCAGGGGTTGCAGCTTGCGCTCAGGCAGCTTTGTTTCTCTAAGTGTCTTACGTGGAGCAGGCACTTAGATGTTTGCTGAGAAAAAGGAAAGGGAGGTGTTAACGTCCTTTGTTACCAGAAAGTAAATTATGGGGTGGGTAGCTTGCAGAAAGACATTTTAGTGCATTTCGCTCAATCTTGAAATCTAGATTGATCTTACAGGTTCAGAGAAAATAAAGGCTGCCAAGAACATGGGTAATTTTTGCCGTCCATGTCATCTTGGAAATAGACTTGGTCAACAATGTGGCCTTTGCGTATGAGAGTTTTTGTAGGGTGCTACTAGCGTCCCCCCAAGGTTCTTTGAAATGATCCAGGCCTAGCTATTAAGTAGGAAGATGCTGGTAGCTTGAAAAGGAGAGACTTTACAGCTGTGGGGCTGGGGTGTGTGCAGATAGGTTGGGGAGTCCTAATTAGCTTACATCACGGGTGGTCTGCTGGAAAGGTAGGGAATTTGGTTTCTTTTCCTAGTAACGATGATTAACATTGAGCAAGTGCTGACAGTGTGCCAGGTACTGGGCAGAACCAAGAGGGCCCTCACGGAACTCACAGTCATACTGTTCTGCACCCACTGCCCACTGTGAGCCAGCCTTTCCTACAGTGGCCCCTGATGGACATGGAGCAGGCAAGCGTCAGGATGGCCAGGTTTGGCAAAGAACAGAGAGAAGGGGTAGGATTACCCACCCAGTTTTTGTTTATTGCATGCCAAAGCAGTTTTTATATTTTTTATTTTATTTTTTGGTACCGAGAATTGAACCTCCAGGGCCTTTTCAATGGGCTATATCCCCAGTCCTTTTTTATTTTTTATTCTGGAACAGGATTTCCTTAAGTTGCCAAGTTGCCCAGACATGGCTCAAACTTGCAATATTCCTCTAAAGCCTCCCAGAGTGCTGGGATTACAAGTGTGTGCCACCATAATCCAGTTGTGTGTGTGTGTATGCACACACACGTGCACGTGTTTTATATATATAATGTATTTCTTTTGCACACTCTGCTGTTTTTCTTAGTGCCTCCTTTGTCAGCTTGTGGAGGTAGTCTTAAAGCCATACCTCCATTTCCAGTTTTGGTGAAATTGACTGACTGGGGCCAGAAAGTGTTACTCTTCACCGAAGCCCTTCCCTGCCCAGAGCAGTGGGAAGGATGGTCAGAGAGGAGCAGGCGCTACAGGGCTTGAGACAGGCTGCGCAGCAAAGGGCTGTTCTTGTTGGTCTTGGGGGAGGACGGCTTTTGGGACGGAGGGCAGGGCTGAGCTGCCCTGCTGTCTTGTGCAGGCCGCTGTAGTATTGTGACTAGTATAGGGCGGCTCCTTACATCTCTAGAGGATAGCCCTAATTTTTATCGGGGCCTGTGTGGGTGTTTTTCCTCTGTCTGTTGGCTTTAGGCTTAGCTCAAAATCATAATTTGTTTAGGGGGATCAGGGACACTGACTCTGCTTGAGGTGAGTGTTTTCCCCCCTTCTCATGTTCCTGCTGCCCTATTTCCCTCTGCTTTTCATCTTCCCCTTCCCCTTTTATTCTCATTTTTCAGGAAATCATGGATATTGCTTAACCCTGCTGGGGGCAGGCAGGTTCCTGACCCCTCCAGCGGACAATGATGTGGAGTCACTCACTATTCCATGGCTTTCCTCTGCAGCTGAGCCCACTGATGCATAAAGAATGGCCCATCTCCTGACCCCTAACGCTGGGCTGTCTTCATTAATTAGAGTACATTGATTTATTTATAAGCATCAGGTCTTTGCCTGAAAAATTCTGCCTCCTCACTCTGGGCAGCCCAGCTGGGGTCTGGCAGTGAAGACGTTCTAGCAGCTCAAGAATTCCAATAATCTCCGCCTGTTCTTATCATTTACAGTGTGGTGGAAATAAGTGCACCAATTATCTAACCATGTGTAACATTTTCTCTTAATATTTATTGCTGAAATGGTGAGTCTTTCCTTACTAACAGTTTTTGGGGGGCTTAATTGTCCTTTTCTATCTCCTTCAGTTGTCTTTAATAGTAAAATGGTTCATATACCTCGAACAACTCTGAGATATGTTTGCCCTTTTGATTTTGTTGCCAGTCCAGGCAAATTTCTTTGGAAGACCTTAAAGAAAGGGGTTGACTAAACATCCCATTTTTATTAGACTGCACTAATGACACTATTAAATGTTGTTTGCCTACTTTGGATGCTTTGTGAATAATTTCTTTTGTTACATGGCATATTTCCACTTCCTTTTGTAGGTAGGAAGTCAGTTCTTGTAAGCATTTCACCTTTATTCTTCCCTCTTTTCTTTCTCCCTTAGAGTTGAGAATCATGGCTGCAGGAAAATTTGCAAGCTTTCCCAGAAACATGTCGGTGAATCACCAGTTCCCTCTGGCCTCCTCCATGGACCTTCTGAGCAGCAAGTCCCCTCTCGCTGAGCATCGCACAGATGCCTATCAAGACGTGTCTATACACGGAACCCTTCCGCGGAAGAAAAAAGGCCCTCCTCCCATTAGGTCCTGTGATAACGTCAGTCATCTGGGCACCCTCCCCCACTCCAAATCCCCACGGCAGAGCTCACCTCTGACCCAGGACGTCATCCAGGAAAACCTTTCCCTGCAAGACTGGAAAGGTGAAACCTTCACCTTCAGGTGAGTTCTCTTAATTTCATGAGAGAACATGATTTGTTTTAAAAGGACTTTTTAAAGTCTTCTCGTCAGGAACAATGTCAAACATTAGATTATGTTGAGCAAATAGGTCAGTTATCTCCCAGGGGGGCCATCACCCCACTTCAGCAATATCACCTCATGGCCAGTCCTGTTTTGTCTGTATTTCCACTCACTTTCCCTCTGGTATTATTTTGAAGCAGATCTCACTTAGAGATAAATTTATCTACAAATATTTTTGTATGTATCTTTTAAAGATAAGATAAGGACTCTTACTGAAAAAGTATGCAGTCACTATGTAAAATATAGTACCCCCAAAACTAACCATTCCTAGGTATCATCTAATATTTGAAAGTATTTTAAAATCCAACTTCCAGTATCATTAAGTCTCTTAAAAGAAAGCACACTTTAAAGAAAAATTATAGCAACAGGTTCTAAACTATATCCACTCAATTTTACAATGATGAGGATGTCTATAAATTAGGACCTCTATCTTCTTACATTTAGTTGTCAATATGCTGAGGTAAAATTTTGTGTGGATGCATTGTATCGTCAGCTTTAGAATATGCTTGATTTCTCCTTGTCGGTACTTGAGATCTGGGTAAATAAGCCTTCCAGTCTCACATGCTGCTTCTCTTGGGTTGTAAGGGCCTGGCCATTATTGGTTTCTGCCTGTTAAAGCTGGTTTGGAAACTCTAAGCTCCTTTTCCTGTTTAAGAAGATCAGCAGCTTGTGATACTGGCTGTAAAGAATGAGGTGGTTCGTTGTTATCTCTTTTGGTCCAACCTTTTAGCACAGAAGGCCACTTGGATCCCAGCTCACTTTTTGGTTCAATATATATTGAGTACCTGGCTTAATTAGAATATATTGATTTTATAGGCCCAGGGTTTCACCAAGAAATTCTGCCCATTCCTTCTGAGTATCTAAAGTGAAGGGCTGATCTTGCTTTCAGGACATTCCAGCAGCGAAATTATTGCAGTACTCTGCTCTTGCTCTTTTACGAGGTAGAGGAAATGTGTGAACTAACAGGATACAATGGTGCATCTGAAGCACTGTCTTCCAGAACTTTTATTCCAGTGAGAGATCTAAATAATAATATAAGTAAATAAATAAACCGACAGCCAATTATACTAAATGCCATGGAAGAAATAGATTGATCTGCTGGAGCAATGGATTGATCTGCTAGAGATTTATCAGGTATGGGGTTTTTGTTTATGGTAAAGTGAACAGGTCTCTGAGGAGATAATAATTTAAACCAAACTTGCATAGTGAGAGAAGGCAGCCAGGAGCCTTGTAAGCTGTTCTAGGCACTGAGAAGTCAAATGCAAAGAATTAGAGGTGGGAACAAGTTCAGGATGAATAAAAACCCCCAGAGGAAAGCTGGTGTGGCCCGTGACTGAAGTGTAGCAAGCTGACAGGAGAACAGTACAGAATAGTATGGATGTCAGTAGAGGGCTGGGCAGTCAAGTGTCCCAGATTAGTTTTAGTTTCATAATTGTATTAGTGCAAGAAGAAAGCAAGTGGAAGTCAGATTCTCTGTAGATAGCATTAAAGAGCTCTTAAATGTTACTGACACCAGATCATAAGGTTCCTCAAGGTAGCTTAAGGGTCAAAAGGCCCTGGACCTACTCCACTAAATCTAGACGAGCAACCTCCCAGCTCAGAGCTCAGAGAGGCAGCAGGTAGCCTGCTGATAGGAATGGTAAATATGGAGGACCTACCTGTATACAGTTTTGTTAATATCATGTCATCGGCATTTACTGGGCAAAGATGTGAAAGGTGAGCAGCAAAGACACCATTCGGCGTGGCAAAAATGATCACAAATGCCAGGCTGATGAAGTTGAGTCAGAGTTAAGTGTTCCCTGGCTTACTGCAGACCACCTTTTATTTATTAACTTAAACCCTTCATTGAGCTAAGTATCTACCATGTACCAGACACAGACAGTTTGCAAATTCACTCCTCAAAACTCCAAGGTCTGGCTAGGTGCCAACTTCTCGTAAAGGGGAAGCTCAGCAGAGAGGGTGGCCGGGGAGGAGGTGGTAATGGAGTCACCCTTCAATCTTGAGGAAGTTCTTCATAAACACCCAACATCAAGCCGCCAGCCTACCAGGAGTTCAAAGCTTTTAACTTGAAAAGTGACTTGGACAGAGGTCAGATATCTGGAAAAGATCTTATCGCAGGAGGGGTACCGTGCAAGTCCCGAGTTTGAAGTCCAGGCTGTGGAAGCTTTAGCAAGCACTACGGAGTTAGGGTTTGCCTATGATTCAGAGGTCCATTAGTCCAAATTCACATCTTTTTTTCCCTCAACATAAAATATCTTACTGTTTAAGATGAACACAGGAAGTAACAAGTACATATTCTTTGAAAATTATGCTGAGTGAGAAGGCTGGGGGTTGTGCTTCAAAGGATTATAAAGCCCTACCCCCCTTAGTCTTATTAATAGTATATTGATTTTCTTAACATGTTTTTTAAAAAATCTCTTGGGGCCTTCCTGATTTTACGGAGTTTAAAGTACTTTATATCATATTTTAAAAAAATATTCCTAGTGAGATTATGAGCTGCCTCATCTCCTTTTTGGAACAAACCATGATATAAACAAAGCAAGCAGCATGAATAAGAATCCAATGCTCTGGAGAGGGAGGTTTTGCCTAAGGTTCCATAACAAAAATATAAAGAGAAATAGAACATCTATAAGGAGTTTTTACAGCTTAAGAAACCAGGGAAGCACCATCTACCCACTAAACTCCAGTGGCACCGTTTTGTTTTAATAGTGAATTCAGGGCTTAATTTCAGTTGACTTGACAGATTTCTAGCCTGAAAACCTTCATCTCATCACATTTGGTACTGTTAGGATGATAGTGGGGTCATCTGGGACAGCCCAGACCTTCTCTTCGTGTGTACCCACCTACATTCAGAAAGGAACCTTTCAGAGAAGAAACTCCTGGTCTTATGAGTCTCCCCTTATTCATAGTTCACTTTCTATGGTTTCAGTTAGCTGTCACCAACCACTGTCCTAAAATTAAGTGGAAAATTCCAGAAATAAATAAGAATTCAGAAATTTTAAATTGTATACTATTCTGAGTAGCATAAAGAAATGGGGCTACCTTCTGTTCCATCCCACTTAGGATGCGAATCATCCCTTTATCCAGCAGCATACCCACACTGTGTGTGCTACCCACCTTTAAGTCACTTGGCGGCCACCTTGTTGCTTACATTGAAGTAACCCTTACTTTATTTAATAATGGCCCCTAAGCAAAAGAATAATGATGTCGGCCATTTGGATATGTCAAAGGGAAGCCAAATTCGTGTTTTTAAGTGAAAAGGTGAAAGTTTTCCACTCAATAAAGAAAGAAAAAACTGTGCTGAGGTTGCTAAGATCTATAGTACATTGTTATATTGGTTCTATTTTATTATTAGTTATTGGTAATTGTATTGGTTACTTTTCTCTCGTTGCTGAGACAAAATACCTGACACCCAAAATTAAGGAAGGAAAGGTTTATTTAGTTCACAGTTTGTGCAGGTTTCAGTCCGTAATCAGCTGGCTCCAAGGCAGCATGGCACGGCACAGGGCAACAGTTCAAGGTGGCAGAAGGGGGCAAAAGACAGCAAAGCCATAAGACAAAAGGGAGGGGAAAGCAAGCCTCTTTTCCTCCCTTAGTATTGTACACCATCTGTCCACACCCTCTCCGGGCCCTCCTCTTCCACCAGCTGAGGATGTTTACAAAGTAAGGACCCCGGCCCACTGCTGAGTTAAGCTTCTAAACTTCTCAAGTTGACCCAGTGCATAAACCATTACAATAATCTTTCGTTGTGTCTGATTTATAAATTAAATTTCATCATAGATCTGTAAGTATAGGAAAAAACAGCATCTATGGATAGGGTTTACTACTATCTGGTCCAGGCATCTGTTGGGAGATAAGGAGGAACCCCTGTACTCTAATTTGTTGCAAGTTTGCTATTTTCCCAACAAATATGTTTAACTTATTAATCATTAAAAAGTCACCTTTACTATAATTAAACATCCACACCGGGGGAGGCCCAAGGCAAAACAGAGGAAGTCTCCCCTTTGACCTAAACATTTTCACTATTAAGTATCATATCCACATGTGTCATATCCTGCCGAATTAATACTGAATTGCATTTTATAGTTTTAAAATATCTTACAGGATGTGATCATAAATTATCTTGTTTGAACATTGCAACCCTGTGTAAGAGACATGGCATATTTCATCATCATAGTCATCACTACCACCACCACCACCACCATCATCATCTCATCTACAGTTAGGAAAATAGGTTCAGTGCTGTTGAAGTGCACAAGATCATACCCTGGTGGATGACTGCACGTGGATAAGAACCCCAAAAGTACCATAGGGCCTTCCCCAAACACTGTGCTTCTCAGACAGCCTCCCTAGAATGTTGGTGCCAGCTTGGCATCCTTGAGCCCTTCCCCCATGGAAGCGGTCAGTCTCCTCTCTGAGTCCAGGTCCTCAGACACCCCCTCTGACACCCCTCTGGGGAAAATGGAGCCCTGGTTGCCAAGAGCCAGGCAGAAGGCAGGCCTGGAAGGGGGAGTTGGTCTTCTCTTTCAGAGACTGTATCTCTTGGCTTTCTTATTGTCTTGGCTGCCCTTGGATGTACTTGTGGTTTTGAAAGTTGGCCAAAGCCAGAAGCCAGGGAGCTCTTAAACCTGCTGCTTGATGTCACAGAAGGAGCCTTTGTTCTGAAAAGCAGAGCCAGGGTTCTGGAGAGGCCTGCAGACAGGATTTCCTCTTAACATTAGCGTTGTTCGGTTGCTGTCCTTTTGATGCATTTATTGTCAAGGATGAACTTGTATTTGGATCTGGAATCTTCCTTGGGCTAGAGGAGACCGGTTCCTGTCGGGATGTCTATGTTGCCGGGATGTCTGTGTTGCCGGGATGTCTGTGTTGCCGGGATAGCCGAGAGATCCGCACTTGGAGGCTATTCAGGTCCTTTTCCTGCC